AAAAGCGTTCTTCATGAACTGAGTCTTCTTCTGGTTGATTCGCAGTCCTATCCGCTTCCCTACTTCGTTTGGTAAGCAACGGTAGTCAAAATAATTAGGCCACGATCTTGAAATTTTCAAAAGCGAAAATGAGATTAAAGCGAAAGCTACAATTGCTGTGTTTCTTATGTTTCCTGACTAAAAGGGGACTCAGGCGAAAGAGCGTTTCTTAGGTTCCGCGCAGCCCACTGATAATTGCTAATAAAGAAGTTTGTTGATTGTTTGTGCAAGCAAGGCTCATCTGTGATGATAAAATTGTTCGAAGGCACTAGATTTTGCTAAATTATCTAATTTACTAGCTCATCGACTTTTATCTAACAGCATCACATGCTTAGCTGATCGTTTACGTCGCATTATACTTGCTAAACCACACAGTCTTTATTTATCTTTTTAATGAGCAACGCTCTAATAGCGAAATGTTGAGAATTGCCAATTTGACAAGTTGCACTCACCGCTGGACCGCTGACCATCTGTACAAAGGTTTCCACATGATTGAGATCTCCTTCGAACTTCTCTTTCAAAAAGTTCACTCCAAGATCGCATGGAATAGAATCCCATCCACAAGCGCCAACTATGTAAACACCCTGGAACATAAGTGCACAGCATGTCTTCGGCAAATTTGCCAAAAGCCGTTTGGAATGTAACTTACTTTTTCCTTGGCTTTCTCGCCATAGATCATTTGCATTTTTTCGAGATACTGAAGGAAGTATTATGAGAAAAAATTCTACTATGAATAAATGATATGTTTTGCTGCAATCACTCCTATCAAGCCAACACTGCTGATTAAAATTTCCGTATTCGCAATATTTGCGCCAAAAATTGATCATGCGTGAAATATATGCATTATCTTATCTTTTTCCTTATGTAATGTACAAGCTTATAGATACCACTCCAGATAGTAAAACTTGTGGTCAATCTAGTGAATGAAATCTATACGAGCCTGGTCTTTTTTCACAATGATTATAGCATCTACAAGAAAAAAAGGAATTCACAATGATTCTAGAATTTCAAGGCAAAAATGATTGACTACAATACTGTCACTGCCTGCTTGATGATTTGCGAGATTAAACTATTAGCGCGTTAGTTATCATAATTTGCTCTAACTCATTTGGAATTTGCTGTCAAGTGTCTACCTTCTGATGCCCTAGTGATCTCAAATTTACAAATTTTTCTTTCTTTCTTTAGTATGACATCACAACCGGTTATTGCCAATCTTGTTGGTGGCCTATTGATGTCCTTAGGCAACATGGCTTCTTGTAAAATCTTATTCTCAAAAACAAGTCTTGAGTTTCAGGAAATAAAATTATTATTTAAATAATCTCATCGACTTTTTTCTGATTGTTATATAAAACGTACATTTGCATTCGTATCACGTCACCTTTCAGCAAGCAATGTAGACACTTTACAATGCAAAATTCTGAGCCCATCAGCAGCTAGTGATTGAGAATTTAAAGCTGAATTACGAAACGACAAATTTATGATTTGAAAAAATGACAAGACACTACATAACCAGATAGCGTTCGGAAAGTCAGGTTGTAGTCTATCACGCAGCATATGGGCCCTTTCAAGCGAATTTTAGATCAGCAAACCATTTTTACTCATTATTTACCAATGTAGCCCTGTTTGAGTAGTTCCTTAGTTAATATCCTCTGATTTGAAGATGATATGATTCAGATATGCTTACCGCAGGTTCTCCAGATATGTCCACATGGTTGGCACCATTTTCAACTGCTGCTTTCACAACCGGTTCACCATAAAGCCGATACTGCAAGGGAGTACAAAATTGTTCTCATTCAAATGTTGTGATGCAATTTACAAAATGACGATTTCTTGCCCTCATTAATTTCGAGGTTTCTAAACGTTAAATTTCGTTTCCAAACGTCGAACTTAGCTTTTCCATTTTCTTCTCCAGTAAGAAGGGTAACAAACGAATTTTTTGCGTTCTTCTCTATACGTGTTGTTATCAGCATAAATATACTCACTGGTCCGACAGCATTTATGATAACCTTCGTTTTGCTAGCCATATCAGCCAACGATTGCTCATCAGAAGAGTCTGCTATGATTATCGGTGTTGCAGTGATGTCCTTCCCTGCAAAGTAACTCCTCTTAAAGCTATAAAGATGCATGGAAATTGCAACCTTAAGGGAATTCACTGGAGTGCA